CTCGTGCATTCGGATATAAACTCGCGGACCGACTGCCAGGCCACGGCTCGAAAATAGTCGCAGCATTTAGGGTGGCAACCCGTGGCTTTTAGAGCGACGCACGCGTGTCTTCGTGACGCATGAACCACCTCCTCCCCTCTTTCGATCGCCATTGCAACCCAATTCAACAGCTTCGATGAAAATCGCCACGGCGGCCGATGAGCGGACGGTCTTCGGGTCGCCGGTGAAATTTCGGTCGGAGATCGGCTCGGCCGTTTCTCAAGATCGCCGACAACTTCGGGGAACGTCCGAGTGTATTTTCATATACTCCGGGGATTCTGAAAGAGAATAGTCTACCTACCTGGGAAGGGTGGTCATTGATTATCGACGTCAAATAACCCACTTTGAATTAAGACTTTCCTTGCTGCAACGATTTTAATTGAGGAACATACGCTCGAAATTATTGTGGAATAGGTTGAAATGAAAGGACATGTCAACGCTGAAATAAAAGTTCTACCGTTCAAGTAATATTTGTTTGATTCGAGTGAAATGGTTACTCTCCTTGGCAAATATTTATTAGAAGTAGAAATATAATTGACTGGGTACAATATGATATTTCCTTCGTATAAGTAGACATTTACTTGTATGTGTTAGAAGAATTGCGACAAATGTTAAATTCGTAATATTGAAAATATCAGAATTTATTTTTAGAAAATATCTGGACAGCAAAATCAAATTTTAACATTATTAGGTTTCTTTAATGGAAAAGGAATATTATATAATTCTGATAAATGATCTTTCAAATCTAATCATTTTATGCTTACGTTCAGTATATTCAGTAATTTCATTTACAAATTAAGACATTATTGTATTTAAGTAAGTATTTACTCTATAAGAGTTATTAAAATATATTTAAATTGATAAGAATATTACTTGATTCGAGAGGTTGAATAGCAGGCAGTTATGTTTACTTGATATTCTAACACTTTTTTTTCTTTGCGTGATACTTGTAATCGAGCACACTTGCAAAATATTCCGAAAACTTTCCTCTTACTTTGACAGTCAATGAATAGCTCTAAAATTAACGCGACAAGATCTTGAGAAAAGGTAGGCTAAAAAAGAAGGTTGCATGCCGTGTTAATTTTACATGTTATTTATTGGCCGACTAAGTAAAAGGAAAGTTTTCGGCATATTTTACAAATGTGTTCAATCGGCCACGAGTGTCATTTTATGGACACATCCTTTCAGCGTATTTCGCAAGAATTTTGGGAATACGTCTTCTCGTTTCTGGCGTCATCAAGCAAGATGACTGCAGCAGGGACCAGAAGTCTTTGAGTATGACTTATTCGTTTCTGCACGCGTCACGAGATTTCTATTCCGTTAATTTGGACCTGTAATCAGTTTTAATTTGTAGTATCGGCCAAGGATGATCACAATGCATGGTCGAAACGATCCGATGATACAAAACAGTTTGTACTTACGTGCGTAATACACTTGAAACAAGTGCAAATTAGACCTGCAATTGGCTCTTATTGTCCTTCGCTGTTGCATTGTCACTTGTTTTCTTCTCCCTCTTTCTTCTTTTGCGAGGCAGACTCATGTGAGAATGCACATCTCGGATATCGTGGGCACGGTATTATCGTTCTCTGCACTAAACTGACCCTGACAATAGGAACACCTGACTGGCGAAAACGAGAAAAACATGTCACGGAAGCGTCCAGCTGCAATTATGCAATGGCCACCATTTATATGTATTACAGAGACTTTGTGTCTCTTTCTTTTGTCGGCATTTATTCCACATTTCGTTGCCGCAAGCTCCGAAACATCGACGGGTTATTAACGAGCCGCACCTGTTGCCGTGTGCGAAAACAATTTCGTTTGTTAGACCAGGAAGATCGACAGCAGCTGGTGAGTACCACCTGGAAGACGTCAGCCGCGGGAGAGTCGCACGGCGATCGGCTGCACCAAATTAATATTAATTAGCGCGCTCTGCGAGACCACCGTCATTCGATTTGGACCCGACGGATAATTCAATTATACGCTGTCCAAACGTTACGCGGGCCAGGGGAGGGAGAGCGAGTCGTGTAACGTTCACCGTTGCACGCGTGGCGCACCGAAATATTAATTAGCACGGATTAATTAGCTACCGGATCCCAGAAATCCTATTTGGACCGGGCGAATTATGAAATTATTTGTTTTGTTGATGTGGCGTTATTAGTTTTACGTATTTATTTATTTATTTACTCATTTATTTATTATTCGCGAAAATCATCCTTTTTGTATTCATGCACGGCGCATATTTATGCACATCTATGAGTATCGATGACATTCCTCTAACATTTATTAGGTCGAACAAATTTATAATGGCTAGAATCTTGTGTGAATTCTTTCTAATAAATTACACTGTTCGGTTTTTGAAAGCTGTGCATAGCCACGCTTGTTTAACTGCTTCTATATAACCATTTATTTTTTATATTGCAACGTTCTATTTATTCTTGTCAATAAATTCTCTTTTATATGTATATGTCGTCAGATTGAAATTTGTGCTTTATACTAAAGGGTTAATGTTTTCCTATGAATGAAAAAATAAATAAATAAAATAAACAAATTACAGAATGAGTTCAAACATCTACACAGGAATGCAAAGTATCACGCATTGTCACGTGTTACATCATTAGCGTTATAGATTATCGCAGGAGCGTAACTCGATCGCTCTCGATCGCACACGTGTTGTCTTTACACCTACTGACGTCGATAGGCGATCGGAGCTAATTCTGCTTTTTGGCTAACTAAGGTTCGGCCCGGTCGATTATCGAATGGCCGCCCGCATAAAACGTTTACTAAGTGACGTCACTGAGGAGCGACCGGACTCAAGGAAAGCGGATCCCCTATCGATCGTTTCCGATTGTTTTTACTTTCCTCCTGGAAAAGACGGGGAGCGGCTTAATCTATAAATAAGATTTTCCCCGTCGCTTCGCGTAACGCGCGTCAATAGATTCGGTATGCCGGGCCTTGAACGTACGGACCACGCGTTCTATAATAATCCTCGACAAAGAAAAAAATCGAAGAGGAGATGGAGGAAGGAAAGGAGAAGAAGGAGACAATCGCGCGGACGAAGCGACGGGCGAACGGTGGATCGGTGACTAAGCGCCGTGGTCGATCGATCGCGAATCTTTTTGCCGAAAACACTGACATCTGCCACGGTCGATTGATCGTCCGTCGCGGTAGTTGATTAACATGTGCGCTACGGCATCCCCGTGAGCGAATCCAGACGTTTCACTCGTAATCCGGAGATCATTGCGCGCCCCGATGTTTTTGCTGAGGATGAATCGATTCCACTTTCGAAGAATACGCGCCTGAATTTAATAGCGTCATCCGCGATGTCGTCATTACGAGATCGATGATGTATGATAGAATTATTATATAAGACTGAATATTTGCAATTACACTTCTGTATCATTAAAATTATTTGAAATATATAAGATTTCGTAAATTTTGGAGTCAGTAAAATTTAGTAAAATTAAATATGATAAAATTATATAGAGGACGTGCTCTTTAAATTTCTTGGAGTTAAACTTTACTCCAAACAAGCGAACATTTATTTGAAGCGATTGTGGAAATACTATCTCTCTCGGAATGGTAACAGTGAATGTTTCATTCCAGCTTAGAATCTGACTCCATACGAACGTTTCAATTGATTAGTTTGTTCTTGTGATGATGGAGTGCATCAGACCTACTCTTCATTTCGAGTAAACATATTCATTGAACATTTCAAAGTGGAAAATTTATTTTACAGGGTGAGAAAATAATGATTACCATTTTAAATATCTTCGGAAAATAAAAATACTTTATTAACGACCAGATGAAGATAAAAAAAGTGTGCATTTAAAGAAAGTCTTCGAAGTGATGATCATTGATGTCAGTATAATTTTTGTTAAGTGAATTTTTCTCTTTTATCTCATATTTCGAAGATATTCAAGGCGGTAATAGTTATTGCCTCATTTTGTATATGAATGAAAAGTCATTCACAATCGATAATTATATTCGAAATCGAGTGACTCGGCTGCCACTTTGCTTTCCGAATAAAATTCCGCTCTACACAGGAAAAATATCAGATTCGAGTAAATAATTACTCCAATACTGATTGGTAAATTTTTATTTAAATTAACTCTTTAAGGTCTATATATCGACTTCACTGGAATAAAATATAGTAATTTATAAGATCGTTTTAAAGAGTTTTTCGTGAAAATTTTTTTATCCGAATAAAAATTGGCCGTTGAGAATTACGATTGTTTGAATATATATAATTATGTACATTGGACGTTTAAGCTATAAAAGTGAGGAAATATTAAAATTGTTTTATTTAAAAAAAAAAACTTATTTTCTGCTTATTTATAACATAATCGAAGAACATCGGACAAAATTTTTATAAATAGAATATACTTTCGTTTTTCCACAAATAACTTTATATAAATCCGAGCGACTTTGCTCTGCGATTGCATATATTGGCCTTCAGCTGGAAAGACACTATTTCATGGACGGAGAATATAATTTCATTTAGGATGGATAGATGATATTATATCGATGGAACCATTATTTTACCAATAGATGAAATTTAGGGAAGGCTCAAAGTTAATGTGCATTATAATATATATTGGGCCTTAAAGAATTGAGTAAACTTTACTTGGATCGAGCAAATATTTTACTTGGCTCGGGTAAAATTTATTTCCGAATAAAAATTTGCTAAGCAGAATATAATGATTTATTCGAATCCGGCAGCCTTTTTCTATGTAAGAAATCTGGGGAGTACAATGGAATTGATTGATTAATTTCTCTGGGAAATTGTGGGCTCACGTTGTCTTCGTTCGAAGCGAACTACGGTGCTTTGTGTTTTATTATCGTGGTTTACTGCGAGAGAGGTGCGCCTGTGCGTGCGTGTGTTAATTAAACATCCGCAGGTCCGCGTGGCGACCCGAGTCCACATGAGGTCTAATCGTGTCTGTTTCTTTTTGTTGTTTCAGATCCATATTCGTTGTCACATCTCGGTGAGTCTCCTCTCATTGCATGCGCAGCGAAGTGTGTCTCTATTTATTTTTATTTTCTCCGCTCTCTAATCTGACGTAAAGAGAGAAATTTCATTCAATTGATATCTAGATTTTCTTCATACATCTCACGCATCTCTCTCGCTCCGACATTTTCACCGATTAACAACGTACCCGCAACATAATCGATGCTCTGATTCATCATCGAGTGTCATCATCGAGATACACGCCCTCGAACACTTGTCATCAGTTCCATTATTTCCTTTCGTACTGGCCGTGTCGTGCAAGAGGAAGAAACAGAAAGCGACGAATGATCGGTCTTGCGAAACCGCCACGCCTACGAAATCGGTGCTCTTATCAGGAATTATACATGCTGTTTATCATCTTCGCAATTACGTGTCGTTTGGGAAAAGAAAAATAAAGCTCCGCTGCGAGCGGAGTTCAATTTTTCGGGATATATCACTGTTGAATTATTCTGTTGAATTTCGCGAACGCGTTCCCGAATCTCCCCCTCGCGAATCTATTTGATTTACCACAAGCGCAACGAGATCAACGCGGCGGTGCTTAATTACGGTTTAATCGCTGAAATAGAGGGGAGGATTTGCGCGATCGCGATAAGACGCTGTGTATTACAGAGTTTGTTGTGCAATTTGCCGGAGCGGTAATTTAATCGACGAGTCTCTTCCGACGAGTGACTTCCCTCGTGCGGGACGGAAAATATCCCGGCGATAAGTTAATTGGCCCACCGATCGTCGGCTTTATCGCGAATATTATTTTCTAAATGAGACCCCGACGAGAAAATAAGTCGGCTAGACGGAATCGAGAGTGCCCTCGGAGTATTCTCGAATCGTTAATGACAGAGAAAGCAGGCCGTAAATCCGATTACTTTCGGATCCTCGTTAGTGGTTCTCAATCTGATATTGAGATTTGTAACCTCATATGGTTTCCTTCCCGTCTCCAAATTAATTACGGTGTAGCGATTTGTAGTAAAAAAAAATCGCCTTTTTCCATTTTTCCGCGGAAACTGAATAAATCCGTGAAAAGGGGGGGGAAATATTTTTCCGCGTTTTTCACGAAAAGAAACCGGAAAGAATCGCGGAAAAATTGAAGGAAGAGACGGCATTTTTCCGAGCCTTTGATACTATATGATAAATTATGATCAATTCTGATGGACTGTGTCAGATTCATCGTCGAATACCGTATATACGAAATTGACACGGCGAAAGCTGCTAGTTTTATCAGGGCACCAATTTCATGATTTAATATTTAACTTGATCCCAATTTCATTACCACTAATTTCATCATCACTTGTAACGATAGTAATAAGAATAGCTTTATCGAACTTAGTACAAAGATGCATCGGCGAAGAGGCGTTCAAAGGACGCGACGATGGCAAAGTGCAATTACTTAAGACTTAAGCCCGTGCCCGATGAGTCTCGTAATCGATCTTACGGCGACAATCACGGTAACGTGTGACACACGGCGTTCGTAATGACGATTAATATGGTACTCAACGAGCGAAATACGGCGACGAGAATACGGAGAGCCGCGGGAAGGCGCGCGCGTGCGGGATCGAGAGCATTTTCGGCGTCGATCGGCGCCTCGATCGGATCTGGGTCGCGGTGGAGGTCAGACGGACGGCAATTCACGGTCGGAAAGGTCACGACGCGATCCTTATTGAACGAAAGCGGCGCGAAAATAGACGTCAGGAATGCCGGTTGACATAATGAGGCTCTTCGCTCTAATTATTCGCGTTTCCGCCGATCAGCTCCCCCGTGTCTTTTCGCGAGAATATATTTCATATGTACGCTTCATCCAAAGATTAATCAAGAAAGAAACGCAGATTTTTTTGTTTAATAGCCTTATTAATTTTCTTAACAAGAAAGGTAACAATAATTATATTATAATCATCTTTTTCTCCAGTTCTCAATTTGCGAATTTCTTCTTGTTCCTTTTTCTCAATTTTTGTCGAATGAATCCTCGTTAATAAATAAATAACATAAATGATAATAATTACGATAATGATGATAATGTGTGTGAGTGATTATAATGATGATAAGAATATAATAGTGATAACTTTATCGGCTACAAACAAGAAAATGATCGTATTAATTATCTTCTTCGACGAACAGTAATCAGTAACAGTAATCTAATTTTCAACGAGAAATGCACACTTTACCCAGCGTGTATAATACGTGATTCTTCCGTTAAATATAGATTCTTAGAAGTCGGAAATAGCTGACGCTGAATAATAGTGACGAAGTTCGAGGAAGTAATGATAATAAATAATCCCGTTAAAGGTAACTGTTTAATTTTTGAATATTAATAATCAGTCCGCAACGAGACAGTTTCGTCATGGCTCTTTCCCGCGACTGCAACGTCACACGAAGCCTTGGGGATAAGCGGTTTCTTATTTAAAACATTACGTTATCAAAACTAAAGAGCAACGACGAGAGAGAGAGAGAGAGAGAGGGAGGAAACGTTTGATCAAATGCTAAATATATTGATTGCGTATCTTATCGTGTGTGTATAATGATTGACACACGTTCCGTTATTTGCCGTTATCGCAACGTTATTACATAATTATCTTAACATTAATATTAATTGCTCGAATGATGCGCATATGCATGTCCCGAGGTTAGATGAATATTAATATAATTTTTTTTTCAGCAGTATCAACTAATACAACTCTAAATTAACATAGAGGGACAGTTTGTTCGAACGTACGTAAATACGGGATTTCCCATTTCTGCCGCGTTATTCGAAGACTGCTTGAAATTTTATCGAAGCATAAACTTCACCGGAATCGGCGAAGAAAAACTTACTTTCTGCGTGCGTCTGATTACGCGAGATTCAATTAGCGGGAAGTCCTTTTCCATCGCTTATCACTCGAGAATGATCGTTGCGCCGATAATTTCGCGAAAGAGAGATCGACTCGAACCGAGGAATTCCCTGTTAAGAGACGTCGCCACGGGAGTGAGGGGACCTTGTATAGATTATAAATATTAATAATCGATAAATCAACATCGCTCGATAAATGTTAGTTTATACACTGAGAAGCCCATTTAGTTGAATCAACAAAACTCTCGTTTGGATGTGGGCAAATAAATGTTTTGGTTATATAAGAACCAAGCTTTGGTTATAAAATTATGGTCCTCCGAACCAAAAATCCGGTTCCTTGAACCTTTCAATCCAAGAATCAAACCTTGCTTCTTATAATCAAAACATTTGTTCGCCCATATCCAAACAAGAATTTTGTTGGCTCAACTAAGTGGATTTCTCGATACATACGACCGATGCTGTTTCCATTTAATACAGTCGGTAATCATACATTGTCCCGATATATTGTTACTTCGTATTAACGAATTTGTTTGCTCGAAGTCCCGCGAGTAAAGTCACGGTCGCGCGTCCTTCGGACGTCCTCGTATTATCGATCGATTTATCGCGGTCGCGGTTTCGGGACGGTTCCGCGAAACCGCCGTAGTCTGCGTTTAATATTGTTGCCGTCGTCCGTACAAAATCGCTTAACAACAATAAGCGTTTAGGTAAGCGATAGCGTGCGCGAGGTGTTGAGTTATGGCCGAAATTTACGACGCGGCCGCGATAAACTTGTGACGCGCGCGCACGCGAGCGAGCGTGCGCGGCTGGTTAAAGCCCGGCTAAAATCCATTCGCGGTTTCCACATTAAAGCGAAACGTCGGGCCTGAAATTGGATTTTTTTCTATTTCCGCTCGAAGGATGGTCGTTCACATCGCGGAGAAAAATACAAACCTAAAATCGCCGCTTTTATTACATAGAAAAGACGTCAATTAACGTTAATTCATTTATTAATTTTAATTGATCATTTATTGTGAATTTTCATCATTTATCACACTGGTCTTTATTAATTTACTCGTTAACGTTAATTTCAATTACAAATTTCTGTCTAATAAAACGATTTATTTAACGATTAGTATCCCGGAGTTGTCGAATCGGATCGATATAAGCTTCGAGACAGTGTCGTTAGTTCTTTTATTTTAAATGAGTGTGGTGGAAGCACACGGAAGTAACCGGCACGATAAAGCAGTTTGTTTGAAACAAAAACTAACCACAACTGTCTCCGGGTTTACATTGATCCGATTCTCCCTGTGATTCAATTCGCCTACCTTATGAAGAATTTGAACGACGATAAAATTTACCAGTGAGCACTAATACTATTTGCCGAGAAGTGATTTCGAAAAATCAAGACCGGGTCCTTTGAGAAGACAACTACTCGAAATATTGGAGTCGTTTTTGTTCCCAATTGAAAGAAGAAAATAACGTCGAAACACTAGACTAGCTATCAGACGCAAGTCCATTGAAAATGTCGGAGCATTGACGAAGATGAAGCTGCACGGGGAAAAAAGGTGTACACGATGAAATAGATTCGTTCAACGTGGCTATTTTTACCTCGAGAGTGTGCCGTAAAATTAGTAGAAAGTATGCTTCGAAGGTGTCAGGCAATAATTGACAATGATCGGTGAATGGACGTCTTATTAATATAAAAGAGTTGTAGTACTGATTCTGCGGTACATATGTAATTTCTCTCATTTTTTTTTTTAACAGATAGTTTAAAAGCTGTATCGGTCACAATCTTATCAGACGGACTGCAACTTGCGTAACAAGCCGATGATGAAGCCTTAACGTTTCAACTAATTTCACAGAATTTAACGTGAAACAATTTACGTGAAATTAACGTGAATTTTGCGAGAACATCCTGAGACCGTTCGAAGATACGGACGAAGAGACAACGGGCGACGAATGAACTCCGTCGACTCTCACATCTCTCTCTCTCTCTCTCTTGCGTCGCTATCGAGAAAACACGCTGACGCAGATGCAACGTACCAATCTCACAGCGCACCGCGTCGTGAGATGTACCTTGGCTGCGGCTCAAAGAGAGTGCATTGCCGGCTGCGAAATGCACAGCGCCGGCGATGAACTAACTAACCGCATCTCCACGGCCAGCCAGGCACGCGTAAACACGC